CTGGCCACCACGTGTAACTTCTCGCTAACGCCTTCATTCGCACGATGCCTGGATGATGGTCGTGCAATAGTTTTAGGACGCTGTGTTGTAATTTTTCAGGAATGATGACTCCGTCTCCCCACAAAACGCAGCCCTTCTGTGAGAACAGCTCCATCTGTCGGTTTTTAAATGGTGTGAAGATGTTGTCGGGTTCGTTGTCAGGCCAACCTCGTTCCACCCAGCTGAGGACCCGAGCCAATGTGGGGTCCTTCTTTGTTTCCGCTGCGATGTCTCGTGCAGTCAGGGGTGGCGAAGGGAGAGTTTCGATCTGGAGCGCAGTAAGGGTTGGAGCTGGATCGTCTATGGCTTCCGGCAGCGGAGAACGGCTCAAAGCGTCAGCGTGGGGAATGGCTTTCCCCGGGCGGTGTAGCAGTTGATAACCGTATGCGGCTAGAAACTCTGACCAACGGGTCATCCTTGGTGATAAGATGTGGGGAGTAGGCTTGTCCCACGCTAATATGCCAAGCAATGGCTTGTGGTCGGTTATTATAGTAAACAGCCGTCCATAGACATATTCATGAAAACGTTTAATAGTGGCTACAATAGCAAGAGCCTCTTTATCGAGTTGGCTATAGTTCCTTTCAGTCTTTGATAATGTTCGGGAAAAGAAAGCAATAGGTGCCTCATTGCCGTTTGGTAGAACATGGCTTAAAATGGCTCCCACCCCGAACAGCGAGGCGTCACACGTGACAGTTAAAGGCAAAGTCTCGTTATATTGCATTAATACAGCGTCGGAGGTCAAGAGATCTTGTACTTGCTGGAACGCTCGTTCTTCCCGTTGTCCCCAGACCCAGGAAGCTTTCTTGTCTAGCAGACGATGTAGGGGCTCAGCTACAGTCACCTTCTGGGGCAAGAAGATATTATAAAAGTTAATGAGTCCCAGGAAGGCTTGGAGGTCCGCTTTATTCCTAGGTCTGGGGGCGTTTTTTATGGCTGTTACTTTTTTTTCGGTAGGATGAATTCCCTTTTTATCAAGGAGGTACCCCAGGAATTCAACCCTCTCAGTACAAAGTTGACACTTGTCTTTCTTTACCTTTAATCCGGCGTTTTTGAATTTTTGGAGAACCGCTCTGAGTCGGGTCTCCAACACGTCTCTAGTGGGGGCAGCGATCAAGACATCGTCGAAATAAGGCACGGCCCCTTTTATGCCTTGCAGCAATTGCTCCATCAGGCTTTGGAAGATGCCTGGTGCTACACTCACACCGAACTGGAGCCTATTACATTTAAATGCACCTCTGTGCGTGACGATAGTCTGTGCCTCAGCAGTCTCTGTATCTACGGGTAGTTGCTGGTATGCCTGGGCTAGGTCCAACTTTGCAAAGATCTTTCCGCCGCCCAGGGAGTGAAGAAGATGTTGAACCACCGGCACAGGATAAGCGCTTTGCTGAAGCACGTGGTTTAGGGTGGCTCGGTAATCCCCACAAATTCTTATCGATCCATCCGGTTTTATGGGCGTTACAATAGGGGTTTCCCAACAGGCGTGATCGATCGGTTCTAACACCCCTTGGGCTATCAATTTGTCCAATTGTTCGTCAATCTTTGGCTTGAGTGCGAAAGGCACTCGACGAGGCTTAAGGCGTATGGGCGCAACATCGGGGCTGAGGCTAAACGATATGGGGGACCCCTTGTACTTGCCTAGCTTCTCTGTGAATACGTCCTGGAACTCCTGGATGAGGGCGGCTTCCCAGTCACTGCTCCCGGTCTGGTGAATGCCGGCTAGTTCAATCCCCAATGGAGCGAACCACTGTAAGCCCAACAAACTGGGCCGGTCTCGATCGACGATGGTAAGAGGCAGTGTTGCGGTGTGGTTTTTAAAGGAGACCTGGACGTGGCGGGACCCGGCAACGGGAATTTGGTTTCCCTGGTAGTCCCTTAATATGACTTTCTGGGTGCTGAGGTCTTGACGATGGATGTCAGGGATCAGCTGTTTGAAAGTCCTCCACGAGACCATTGATAGGGATGAACCTGAGTCTACTTCCATTACGCATGGATGATTCTCAATGGCGACCCTCACTCGGATCTTCCTTGCATCCAAGGATGAGGCATGACCGATGGTGATGGTTTGATGCGTCTCCTCTCGTCTAGCTGACGCAGCAAGTGCTCTGATTAGTGGTTCCATTGGTGATTCAGGCGATCCCGGTTCACGGGCGGGCTGCCCGTAGCTTGGCGGGAGTTGTTCTCTCTACGGATTGGACTTGACCCCCGCTTGCTCCTGCAGACCTTGGCGATATGGCCCCTCTTTCCACAGGAACGGCAGAGTGCGTCGAGGAATTTGCAATCAGCTCGCGGGTGATTTGCCCCACAACCGGCGCATTGACGCGAAGGTTTTTGGCTTCACTGGTCTCGCTGGTCGCGCTCCGACCGGAGTCGGTTGACCTCTTCTTCCTCACTATCCGATGGGGATTCGAGGTCTTCATGGTGCGCCGTTGTTGAGTGCTTTTCTGGGAAAGGCGAAGTATCATTGGTGAGTTGACGGAGCGGTGCGTTGGTGCGGCGCATTCGAGCGGCTGACTTCCTGGTTGCCTCTGCTGCAGTAGCGTCAGCGATGACATCTGCAAGATCGATGTCCCCTTTGGCCATGATCTTGCTTTGCGCCATGAGGTCATCTAATCCCAGAACTATGCGGTCTCGCATGGCTTCTTCAAGGTTTGAAAAACCACAGAGTCCACCCAGGTTCCAGAGGTCAGCGATGAAGTCTCCAACGCTCTCGCCTTTCCGCTGGTCCCTCTGGTAAAACTCGTGTCTTCTGATGAGGGTTGGCACCGCGGGTGCATAATGGGCCCGAAGAATAGGAGCGAGGTTATCCCAATCCATTGACTTAACCTCTGCAGGCTTTGCCTTAGCCATTTTAAAAACGGCAGGCCCGCAATGGGTCAGGAAGACCGCTCGTTTCTTGCCAGGCGAAGCGTCCTTCAGGTTGTTGGTCTCCAAAAACATCTGGAACCTGTCCATATACGAGTCCCAGTCTTCGTTAGCCGGGTCAAATGGAGCGGGTGGTATGGCGCCGCTGGCCATCTTGCCGTTGTTGACGCTCTTTCAGCCACGTGCTCTGTTCGGTGCACAGCGAGTGCTCAGTTGGCTCTATTGTCTCCGCATCCCATCCTCGTCGCCAATGTTAGATCTGGAGAAGTGGGCGCAATAACGGAGACAAGGCATCGGGTAGTGACTCAACTCTTTAATAGTGACTTCAGAACAGAGCAAAACACTTGGGCAGCAGCAGCTCTTTTATAGAGCTGGCTGCTGCCGCAATAACCAATGGGAACGAGTTTAACCGCACTTAGTCTTCCAATGAGGGATGGCCGCTGTCAGCCAATCAGGTTAGCCGAAGGCAGCCAATCATTGATCGCTTACTTGCGGGCCAATCCGAAGTGCAGGATTGCGAGCCTGCAGTTGGAGCAAAGCTCGAAGAGTTTTTAATAATGAGTTTATTTAGTTAGTTCGTAACAAAATGGGTACAAGTATATACATAATAAATGAGTACGAATAAATGGGAATAGTAGGATAGGCATCTCAGAGAGGTTCAGGGCTTCCTGAATAAGTCTAGCCAGTATGGTCAAGGATCAGGGATAGTAAAAGTTATAGGCCCCTCCCCAGTTAACTACACACTACATCAGGGATTAAATCATTCCTTCTAGTCCAAGGATGAAATTCAAGAATGTCAATATCTACCAACTGGAGCTAGAAAGAAAACAGTATCTCAAATGTTTAAGAACTAGAATTAAAAATGCCTCCCTTATGCTCACCTCAGAAGTATATAGTATAAAAAGGAGGTGATTTTCCCAATTCTGTTTGTCTCTGACTTGTCAACATACCAACCGCAAGTTCTATTTGCAGTTGAGTGGAAAAACTGCATACATATTTGCACAGAATACATTTTTGTACAGGTAGTCCTCAACTTATGACTACAATTGAGCCCAAAATTTATGTTGCTAAGTGAGAAATTTGTTAGTGAATTTTGCCTCATTTTACGATTTTTCTTGCCAATTTGTAAAGTGAATCAGTGCAATTATTAAGTTAGTAACATGGTTGTTAAGTGAATCTGGCTTCCCCAGTAACTTTACTTGTCAGAAGTTTGCAAAATGTGATCACATGATCCTGGAACACTGCAACGGTCACAAATATGAGCCAGTTGTCAAGCATGTAAATCACAGGACCATGGAAATGCTGCAATGGTCATAAGTGTGAAAAATGGTCATAAGTCACTTTTTTCAGTGCTGTTGTAACTTTAAAAAGTCACTAAATAAACAGTTGTAAGTTGAGGACTACCTGTATATGGTTCAACACCATGACTTTACATATATTTTCTGTAAGGCATCCACAAAAAGTGCAAATTTCTGCAGATGCTTGCTATCATATAAACTCTCCTCAAATACACGAGCTGATGTCATGAAATTTGGTTGTATCTGTAATAAGTTGTTCTTAACAGATATTAAAATATATTAAAATGCATAGTTTGTTGGGAAAATGTGTAGAAATGTCCACTCACATATTTCTAAAAAAAGAAATCCTGACATAGACTAATACATGCCTGGACTGAATACTTGCAGATGTGCTGGGGGGGGGAAAGGAAAGGAAAGTGATTCACCCCCCAATTTTTTTCTCCAAGTTTAAATGTCAATGTCATGTATTCTCTGAGTTCTCTCTCTTTAAAATAGAGATAACTCAGCAAGATATGGTACAGCCTTCAGCCTATAGTTGCTTTTTCTAAAATGTAAGGAAATGTATTTATGGGTCTGAATATTAATAACAACAGCAAAACCAACATCAATTACAATGAAACATTACAAAATTATTAGTAGCTTGTCAAAACGGGAGTGATGGAAGACAATAGTATCGGGGTTAGGAATGTCTTTTAATATTTTATTTTATTTTATTTCTAATAATATACGTTAGTTCTATGACAGCTCAATATTAAATAAAAATAAGCATTTTTTTCTAAATCAATCATTTAATCTGCTAACTACTAAAACTGGTAGTCTGGTACAATGAAATCTGGTAATGTCTATAAGGAGGTAATGGCTCCTTCAGACATTAATGTAATGGCTAGGAGTCCTTAAGACTTCTTCACGCTTCATAATTTTAAGGGGAAAAAAGCATTGTAAGCAGTTGTACAGAATTCATTTTTAATGGGTCGATTCCACACAGGTCTAATCAGTTAATTATTATTGCTTTCTGTCAAAACATCAAGTTCCCTTATGAATGTTTTTTAGTGGTTTTTATGTGGAAACGGCAGGCTTTGTTGAGTGGTAAATGCTGTAATCGTCTTCTCTGGAAACATGCAGTTTCCATGGAAAGATATGTTTCTCAGAAGGCCAACTTCTGCCCTGCATCACCATAAGTGCAACATCCTCATCAGAAAGCAGACGGATCAAATCCCCCTCAGCATCACGGTAATTCAAAGCAATATCATTCCGCTTAAATTCACGCCTGAGAAAAAAAACAAAACAAGATATTTCATTATAGGATCAGAATCACACCAAGAAGAATGTGCCAAAACACATTCCCACTTTCTGGTCTGGAAGTGTGTCCCATCCCATGCTGGCATATACACAGTCTCTCACCTGTTTTTTTGTTGTCAGTGCCAAAGTTAGACTCTGTTAGTTATTAACAACAGATAAGCAATTATCAGTTTAGTCACTGCAATATCTTCAAGAAACCTGATCTTGTCTGGAGATGCTTTCTTGGTTAATGTTAAAATGCCAAGCTAGACAGGCAAGAAAATGACATTATCAGATACGCTCTTCAAATGTTTAGCTGCTGAGTTGATTCGGATCTGTCACAGAACTTCACAATCTCAAAAGGCAAATCCGGGAATGGCTTGCTGACAAATACACTCATATCCATGTCTCCTTGCATGAGAAAAGTGTGTGTGTGTGTGTGTGTGTGTGTGTGTGTGTGTGTGTGTGTGTGTAGAGGCTACCTTCAACCAAATGTGTTAGTTTTCCATTGTCAAAGAGCAAGAAACCAATCCACTTGCTGGAAGCCAATTCCCAACAATGCCAAGAATATATGATTGTCCCAGCAAGAAAGCTGACAAACAAATGTAGAACAAGTTTTAAGAGAAAATGTGAGCTCACATCCAATTTCTTCTTGCATACTGGGAAATCCAACCAAGCTGGATCACTTGGAAATTATTTTTAAAAAAACAGAATGACTGAACAAACAATGTGAAGAGAAAGGAGGAAACTTAGATTCTAGTGGGGGAGAAATAAATTATTTTCCAATACAGTAAAGGAATTGGAGACCTTTTTAGGGAAGGTGGTTAGAAGGTGGCATCCTATAGCTCCAGAAGATTCTAGAGGAAGTGGATTATCTAGACCTTTTTCAGTCAGTACTGGATTTTGTCACACTAGTGGATAACTTTTGAGGGGCTTGGTATAGGTAATGCATCCTTGGTCTCTGAGCTCCCTTCAGCACCATTAGCCATGATAATTTCTGCCTTGGGATATTGGAAATGAGAAACACTATTTTGCAATGGTTCTTCTTCCTCCATTACTAATTCCAGTCAGTGTTAGTGGGTGAAATAGTCTAGCTCAGGGCTGTCAAATTTGCGGCCCACAGCCAGATGCATCACATGCTGGCCATGCCCATGGCCGGTTTACTGAAGGGGACAAAAACTGTGATAGGTCACGTGACGCCACTGTGATGACACAAGTTTGACACCCTTGGTCTAGCTGGAGATCTCTACTTTGCAGGGTGGTCTTAGTGTTCCTCCTTGTCTCCCTTTTTTTTTCAACATCTCGAAGCTGCCAGGAGAAGTCAGATATTGTCATTGGGTGCAGTATTATCAATATGCTGATGATATTCTAGAATCTATTGTACATCTCTGCTCCAGTCATCCTGGTGAAACTGTCAGGAGGATGGACATTGTGGAGGCCTGGGTGAGGAAGAATAAGTTTTCAGGTCAGTCATACTAAGTCTGGATGACTCTGAATTTTGGACCCTTTGGGTCCCAGAATTAGTGTTTCATCCTTGATTCTCGGCAGCATGGTATTGCCCTGCTCAGCCTAAATGCACAACTTGTGAGTTCTCTTAGACTAACAGACCCTGCCTGAAAAGCATGTGGCAGCTGTGTCCAGAGGGACTTCTGCACAAGTTTAGCCTCTGTGCCAATTGTGCCCCTTTCTGGATCTATGCCTTACTCAGCTCCCAATTGGATTATTGCAATGAACTCTATGTGGAGTTGCTCTTAAAGACCATCTGGAAGCTACAATTAACCCAGAATGCAGTGGTACCAAAAGTTGCAAATGCTTCACATAGTGCTTCACGCCATTATGCCACAAGCTACACTAGTTTGCTTCTGGGTACAATTCACAGTGCTGGTTATCCTCCTTAAACTCCAATATGGCATAGGATCAGGTAACAGTACTTATGAGACTGCTCATATAGATAAACTTCAGGACCCTTTTCTGAAGCCATGCTATCTTAGTTATTGTAGGAGATGAACCTTCTCAATCGAGCCCCTATCTTGTGGAATGTGCTTCTGCCTGATCTTGCTGTCTTTTAGAAAGACCTGGCTCCTTCACCAGGTTAGAAAGTTGTGTTATATTTCAGCCCAGATTGGAATGATGGCACCACCTCCGTTTGGATCCCCATTCTATTCTTCTACTGTTGTTTATCCGTTTACACATTGTGGCTTTGTATCACTTTCGTTAGGTTCTGTTGATTTTTCTGGAGGCTGCGCAAAGTCACTTTGGTTCAGTTATGTGACCATATAAATGTTCTAACTAAAGAATGGAGGAGGGACCCTTTTGTTTTTGTTTTTTCAAAGGCAGGGCAAATATTTGTTTCATAAAGCCCTAATCTTTGAACGTGTCTATGTACAAGAAAAGAGGGGAGAGTGAAAGGCAGTGGTGAGATTCAGCCAGTTCACACCACTTCGGGAGAACTAGTTGTTAACTTTCTGAGTGGTTTGGGGAACTGGTTGTTGGAAGAAATCATTAGGGCAGACAACCGGTTGTTAAATTATTTGAATCCCACCACTGGTGAAAGGTGAGAGGAAAGGCAAGAAATAACTGATCTGGTCACTTCTGTCTCTCCCACAATTCTTTTAGCAAGCTATTAAAAGAGCCTGCCAAGAAATTGACTAGATAGGGGAGTAAAACTAAGCACATTCTGGAAATTGGAAACAACTCTGAGTGAAGGAGATACCTGGCTGAGAGATCTTTGTGCAGATTATCTTATGCCTCCTTCCTGCCCTCATCTGTTGTTTCACCCTCTCCAACCACCCTAAATACATTAAATAAGCATAGATGACTTACTCCATTTTTCTCCAAAAGTTCTAATCAAAAATTGAGGAAAGAGGGAGAGGCAGAGATGTCTTCTCCAGTATAGAACAGTTTAAAAAAACAAAGTTTAGCACTGTTCCCATATAGTATTATTCCATATTAGCACTATTCCAAACTGGTATCATTTTGGAATGGCACTATTCTCAAATAATACCAAACCCATATCCAAAAAGAGCCTGACTCTCAGCTGAACACAGCAACACAAACAATCTGCACAAAACCAAAGCTATGTTTGACAAAATGCACTTCTTTTCACAATTAGAAGAGCAGTTGGCAGATATTTCCCATCAACTGGTGACATTTGGTAAGAGAACAAATGAATGTAGTATGATTTACCAACACTTTTGTTATTTGTTCAGCATTAAGACTAGGAGGATCAATACTCTTGAGGCAAAATAGAGATTGGCAATTGCCAACATACTTTTCTGCTTTAAAGTAGATGTGAGGAATAAGCTCAGATCCAAGAACCAGAGCTGAGAAATACATCAGAGCTAAAAGTCTGCTGCTCAATCAAAGAATCGGCCCAAACAGGAATTGCTTTTAATCCTTCCTTTATCCAATCCTTCCTTTATCCGCTTGTGCAAATGGACTTGTATGCGCACATGGACACACCTACAACTCACATAGCATCATCCTCTCTCCCCCCCAGCTGGGCCGCTAAGCCAAAAGGCTGGGGACCACTGGTCTATAAGGCGCAGATACGCTCATGTAAAAACCTGAGTTCTTGGTTAATTTTGGAGTTATTTTGGACAGCGAGATGGGCAGCATATAAATGTAACATATATGAATGCAAATATTTGGAGATATCCAGACTGCAAGTTGATCGGCTTATATCTTTACCTGATTAACTCCATTAGGTCTTGGAACAATGGGATGCTGCTCAAGTCCTCTTCCACCGATATATCCCTAAAGGGGAGGGGAGGAGAGAATAATTTTTTGCAGAAATGTCATAGAGGAAATTTGAGAGTAAAAAAACATGACATATTTAGAATATAAGTACAAAAAAATAAAAAAAAATGAAATATATACACACAGTACTCTTGCCCGCTAAGGAAGAATTAACATGCACATTTACACTTTGGGGGCAATTAAGATCGGAATAACAATCATCACAGCATCATACCTCTAATCTGATAGTACTTAATAGCAAGCACATTTTTTTCTTTCAGTTCTAGGCAACTCAGTATTTCCAGAAGTGCAAATGTGAAATGATTTCACAGGTATGCATTTAAAACAGGAAGTTCTTGGCTATGTGTCAAGAGTTTTATCAAGAGATGAATAGGGGACTAGCCTTCTCCAACTAGGGTACCTTCTAGACGTATGGATAGTGACTCCCCCAATTTCCCAGCCAACATGACTAGTTATGAGAGTTAAAGTCCATACATTTGTCCTGCCCTTTGCTCTAAATCCTATCACCGCAATACTTTTCAACTAATAAAGTAGACCCTAAACTACAAATCAGGAGTTTATTTTTTTAAGGAATATATTTTCAAGAAGGAGGATTAAGAATAGGGGACTTTTCAGTAAGAAATAATGAACTGAAGACAGCTCTGCTAAAAGTTCAAGCAATGCATTATGGCAGAATGAAGAACTAGCAAGTAAACCAGTTCTTGTAATTCCTCTCCAGACAAGGAGAAGACTTGAGATCTCCCATAAGTGTTCCTTGCAGTTACTGTTGTGAAAAGGCCACAAGACAATGGTCTCCCATGGGTTTAGAGTTCTGGAAATTGACAGAATAGCCATCTTTTCCAAGAAATAAAACGAAAACCTCCGATGTCTTAAGGCAGGGGTGTCAAACTGATGGCCCATGGGCCGGATGCATCATGCACACCACATCCACCCAGCTCCACGAAGGGAAAAAAAGTCACAAAATGTCACATGATGGCAACATGATATCGCAAGTTTGACACCCATGCCTTAAGGTATATACAAACAACAAATCAAAGGAATCACCTGGATAACTTTACTGTATTCAATTTACAAAAGAGCCTTTTTAAAGCTTTGAAGAATTTTATGAAAAGGGATAAAAAGAACGAAAATAAATCAAATTTTAGGATATTATTTGAAGGAATAAAGACCAAGATTGTTAAAAGTAAAAAAGAAAGAATATAAAGTTGATATATTTGATCAAGGTTAAATGGAATGTTGCTATTTCTGGTTACCTTTAATGGACTTTTGGTGATCAGGACTGAACAATGAGGCTTTAAGGATTTGTTTATACATAAGACATTGATTATGGGAAGAAACCATTTATTATATTTTAAGACAAAGTGATAAGTTACCAATATTGTAAGATTCAATCTGGGTCTGTCACCAGGAACAGAGGTTTAGTTTTCCAAGCTTTCAGGCTCATGCTACAGTCCATCCTCAGAGTTGTGGATGGGCTCCAGAACAAGTCCTGAATCTTGGGACACATATATTTGCCTTCATTCATCATTGTTTATATTTGATGTGATGAAGTTATTTTTTTATACATTTCTTTTCTCTTTCTTTACTATATTATTTTTTTCCTTTCAATTTTTATTTCTATTTTTCTGAAGTTTCTACTTTTATTTATATTCTTTTACTTTTGTAGTTTGCAATAGTTTTTAGATGTTTAACTGTAATCTTTAATAAAATGACTATAAAAAAAGAAGGAGCATTAAGAATGGGGATGTGGAATTAGTACCACAGAAGACATAAGAACCTTTCTTCCAAATTTTGTTGCCTTCAAAGAGATTTCCCACGTTGGACTCTGAAATTCATTCACATGAATGGTTAGGCCACTGGTTAAGGCTATTTGGAGTGCAAAAACAATAAGGTGGAAATGTGTGTGTGTGTTTCCCACTCACAAAAACAATCTTTCCTTTATTTTTAGGCATATATATTAGCTTGTAACATGTAGTGTGTCCTTTACCAACAGGGAGAGTTGAAATGTATCTCTACACCAAACAGCTTCCAAGGACCATGAAGTATAACCAAACTAACATAGAGAGGTTTCAGTGATAATATTAATTAACTATCATTAAAAATTTCAGATGTTCAAATTATATCACATACATTGCTTAATTCTGCAAGATAGAATAATATCGTCAGTCTAGAATAATATCATCAGTCTAGAATAATATCATCAGTCTAGAATAATATTGTCAGTCTAGAATAATATCGTCAGTCTAGCAAGGGGAAAAGTTAAGAGATTACCCTAAAGAAATCACTGGTTTTAGTGGAGGGAAGATTTGAATTTGGTTCATGACACAGCCACTATAAATCAAGATCTGTCATCTTGCAGTCTGTAACATGTAATGCTGGCCCACGGTGCTACATAAATAAATGTAAAACAAAAATATTATTCCACAATCTCCTGTTCTTAGTGGGAATAGGAGAACGATTCTCAGAGTGGGACTGACGTTGAACCTCAAAGCACTGACAACTATATAAAGTACAATGTCCAGAAAGTTGCTTTGTCACACTACCTGATAGAGCTGACATTGTCATCATGGTAATAGCAGCGCAGCCAGTTGATTGGATCCTCTTCCTGAGGGAGATCTTTAATGACTGACACAAAGTCACATGGAAAAATTCCAGTAGCATCTCGAAGAGTTCCCTGGAATAAAAGAGGGGAGTTTTTTTTAAAGATAACTCCCTCTTATTAACTGTATGAAAGCAGAAGAGGGGGGTTTATTGCCCATGGATATGGCCCAGGATAGCCTCACCAGTTAACCTGAAAAAAATATTGATATGAGTCTGTAAGCCACTAAAAGAAAGAACAGCATTAGAAGAACCCAAAGATAGAAAATAAGTATACATGTCTTACATGTACAGTATGATGCCAGTTGGCAAAAATTCTAGCTCTAAGCATGACAATGTAACTATGTTAATCCACCAACCACATCTCAGTGCCTTCAGGGGGTTCCTGTGAAGAAATGGTGTCAGGATGTGCCTTCTTAATGCTTTCATTGTCCTCCACCTAAACTTCTATACTCTTACTCCCCCAAAGTGTAATCCCTGGAAGATAATCCATGCTGTTTTATGTTCCATTTACCATGCAATGATGAGACAGATTAAAGAATCCCTGACTGAACCTGAGTTGTTGCAAGTCCTTAATTTCTATCATGCTTGAATTCCACACTGGCCACACTAGGAGATACTGCAATTCCAATCAATTCAGATCAGTAAATTATGGCCACATGAGGACCCCACAATATTTACCTCAAACCAATCTTTATTGACCCTGCTGAGTAAATAGATCAAGTCTCCTTTCTTGAAGCTCAATTCCAGTTTATTGGAGGCAGTAAAATCAAACAGTGCCTATGGGAAAGAATCCAATTGTAGGAGATCAGATTACCAAGTTACAAAAATTGGGTATAATCTATATTCACAGAAAGGAAGCATTGCATCACAATAGTTTAAAGACCTTGAAAATATTTGTGTAAAAGTCTTGTATTAGAAAACCTGTAATTGAATTATACCAGTTAATACCACTATGTGTAGCAACATTGCCCTCTTACAGGCTTCTGCTAATATTTCCCTACTGCAGAATTATACCATACCATGATAACACTGATTGATAGATTTCATGGCTCTGAAAGAAAATCACCAGTAAATTACAGTTTTAGCAAAAGTAATTTTAAGAATGAGATTCTAACCTTCTGTACAATACATTTCAGTTGTCATAGGGACAATTCTTTCTAAGTGGAAAGGAAGAAGTGTGTGTTCTTCCTACTGGCTCACAAACTCCCGCTCTGTTATTGAAAGAGGATCCTCTGGCCAGGTAGTGGCTGAATAATGACACATTCAGAGAAATAACCTTATACCTGTTAGAAATTCTGTTTTATAGCCCTACAGAACAAATAGTGCACAGTCACCATGTGCTTTACTGTTTAACTGTGACAGGAAACAAGAAAATTTATACAGAGAAAAGGCATAGAGTGTATACTATAGATACAAATTTATAAACATTGCCATCTGGCTATAACAGTTTCACAAAATACATAAAAAGCATATATTCTAACAATAATGTTAGACCACCTAGCTAGTGAGGCACTCACCTCCACTCGTGGAGCTGCCAATCTGTCAAACCCTGGTTCTTGAGGACTCACACTCTTTCTATCATAAAGAAGAGAGAAAGAGTATTTCACCAGGTCCACTGGGGAACAATACGGAATTAGTATTTCAACCAGCTGAATGTTTATTAACTAGGCTAGGAAGCAGTTGTGGGATTCAATTTTTTTTACTACCAGTTCTGTGGGTGTGGCTTGGTGGGTGTGGCAGAGGAAGGATACTGTAAAATCTCCAGTCAGAGGTGGTATTTGCCGGTTCTCCGAACTACTCAAAATTTCTGCTACTGCTTCTCCAGAACTGGTCAAAACCTGCTGAATACCACCTTTCCTAGGAAATTAGTAAGAACTGTCTCCTAAGTTTGTTGCATACTCACACACGGCGAGTGCGAGGGCGTAGCCTTCTCAGTCCTTGAGGTATCTGTTCAGTATCAAACTTTGACTGACAGAAAAATAAGCGGATATCTTCATCTAGAAACACACAGGGTAGCAAGCTAAGCAGCTTCTGTGTCAATGAATAAAAAAAATCAAATTGAGAAATGGACAGTTTCTGCCTTGGTATTTTACAAGTAGAAGAAATCTTTCTGGGAGACGAGTTAAAACACTCGCCTCCTGTCCCATCTTCACCTCATGCAAGAGGGAAGTGCCCAATATCCCTATTCCTTAAGCCTGACACATGCTCTTCGTTGATGAGAGCTCTTTATTATCAATACTGTAAGAAACTTGGAGCGTCTGCTGGGACAGTAAAAAAAAAATTGAAATGACAACCATAATTGTGCAATTGAAGCCCTTGTCCCTTTAAATCAAACCCTCCTTTTTTATTTTATTTTTTTACAACTTCCCCCAGATATCCAGCAGGATTGTTGGGGAGTTTGGAATGATCTATAGTTATGTTGGCATTGTAAGTAGGATTAACAGCTTTGGTTATAATGTCCTGTCTCAGGTCACCAGACATCTTGGGGAGGTGACACTGAGAAGTGTCTCTAATTTCTTATGATTAAATTATGTTTGGACTATGTAAAGCTGCATAGGATGCTAGATATGTGCACCCATTTCTGGACAACTGTGTAATCTTGCATTATGTCCCAGGCATCCAAAACTCTTCACCAATACATTTTTTTTCCAAAATGACTGCTTTCAATTTGTTGGGGACGCTAAACATCATTTGGAGTGCTAATGGATACTCTAAGAGCCTCAATCTTTATGATGCCAACTCCTGCACAAATATTGGGTGACTGTTCCTGATTTAATGGGCAGGTCTGCAAATATTCTAGCTAGTGGTTTCTGCTCTTAGAAGTTGCAGAATTCGGTCAACTGGTTTCTAAATGGATTAGTAACCTGCAAGAAATTGTGAAATGGTTCAGAGAAACAAGCATCCACAAAGAGGAATGAAAGGCACGAAAAATAAATGTTTCCTATAAGTTTTTCTTTTCTCCTGCCATGCTATAGGTTGCAAGTAGACTAAAGTCATCAAGATCACCCAGCAGCAAATGACTTAATGTTATATACAAGGGGAAATAATGCAAAAATCCATAAAGACTCAAATGTTTTTGAGTTTAGTGGAATAATGCAAATAAAGGAAGGAAATATAAAATGGAGTCTATTAATTTGGAAAGTCTCCCAATTTCTATAGGACAAGTGGCAGTATTTCACGTGCTATCCTAAAGCTTCTAATCCAAAAGCTTCCCTCATGTATTAGTGTTTACGCTGAACATGGCAAATTAATACTGCAACAAAAGTTAATCACACAGCAAGCTCCACTACCCTAGTTTACAAGCTCAGTAGTCATGTATACAATTGTGTAAAAGTAGGCAGTATTCTATAACAATATTTTACACTAAGTAGCTCCATGATCAAAGCTGAAAACCTATCCTAAAAAATTAATACTTACCTTCATGTATATGTTGAGTGTCGGGATTCGGCTGTCTGCAATCTCTTTCTTTGCACCAACATAAACTTTTCCTGAAAAGCATCATTGTAAATAAAGATCCCGTGGAAGGGATGTGTAGAGAAAAAAAACATTAGAAAGTTTGATTGTAGAGGTAGTCTCTGACAATGGTCCATTTAGTGACCGTTCAAAGTTACAATGGCACAGAAAAAAGTGACTTAGGACCATTTTTCACACTTTCACATGTGATCAAAATAGCAACTGGTTCAGGGTTGCTGTGTCACAGGGTCATGCAACCTTCTGTCAAGAAAAGTGAAGGGTGGAGCCAGATTCACTTGACAACGGCATTACTAAATAAACAACTGCAGTGTTTCATTTAACAACTGTGGCAAGAAAGGTCATAAAATGGGGCAAAACTTACTTAACAAATGTCTCACTAGCGACATCAATTTTGGGCTCAATTGTAAGTCACGGACTACCTGTATAGGATTTTTTCCCCCTTTGGGAGGTGTTTACCAATTGCAAATCACACTATAAATTCTCATTGTTTCTGTATTAATGTAACACTTATTCTCTCTCTCATGCAACCTGCAGTTCACTGAGAATGCAAAATGTCTTCCTACTGAGAATCCCGCGGTCAATAATTCTGTGAAAGGAACTAATGATTTCTATGGTGCTGGGATCACCAAATGCCCATTTTAAATTCACAATATTGACAACAGTTTTAATAGGGTGGCAAAGACCAACTTATTTTCAAATAGAACAGATGGTGAGGGAAACCAATTCTCTATAAACAAAAGAACCTAAGGCTCAAGAGTAGCAGAGGGTCTTTACCTTTGACGGAGATAACTAAAAGAATTGGGGGCTTTGTTCGGCATAAGAATGCCTTCTTTGTATGTGTTTTAAAAAACAAGGGAGGGACTGTTTTAAAGAACAGGAACTAATCATGTGAAAAACAGTACAGGCTCTGTCTCACGCAGCAGAAATAGTTTTCCTTAGTAACAGGAGAGACAATGGCATAAGTTGAAGAATAAATGGTGAAATGAGATATTTTAAACTAAGGGGTGTACAGGAAAGGTGAAGATTTAGATTCTGCTTTTGAGAATTTTTTAGTTAACTTAACATTCATGTCCTGGAGAGACAGGCAGGCAGGCAGGCAGAATTGTTAAAACCACCCAACTCCAAGATAATGTACACTAGGTCCAAACATAGAATAAAAACGTGTTAAAAGCTACCTGAACACATTCCCTAACATGCAGAATCTCAACAGGGATGCCACAGCCCCTGGGTTTCGGGAAAGCAAGGACACTGGAAGCCCTCCATTTTTAAGAGACAGGGGGCTTTTCCAGAAGGCTTGCTTCCTTAATCCCATAAAATTACTGTTACATTGGGGCAGATTGAAGAGGCAGGACACTGATCAGTAACTAACAGCTCTTTATTCATCCAGTAGATCAGTACAACCCAGCAACTTGCCTGCCTGACAGCTCGCCCTTTTATAGGGAGCTGTCAGGAGGCTCAGCCAATCACATTTAACCATTTTTCTCACCATAATGGCAGATCTGAGTGAAGCCTTCATTCCTCAGCTTCACACCTCATTAGAGTATTCAACAATTACAGTGTTTAATTGATTGGACCTGGAGTGCACCCATATGTGAAAAAGACTTAACATGCTAAAACAGCTTGGAAACTGTGTTTCTAAAAACATATGAGGTTTACATAATCAAGACTGAGATAATTTGGAGCTAGTATGTGTGTGTGTGTGGGGGGGGGGGGCTGAAGGTATTCTACTTAGAGGAGGACCTCCTGTGGAAATGTACATAATTGGCTGCTGCAAATAAAATTGTAGGTCTGAATCTGATTATTTTTAACATGGCTTTTCATTTAGAATTGAAGTGGGAGAATGGCCACCAAAAATAATAAGACACATCTATTGGAAAAGCCACTTAAGAATATATGACAAACGTAAGCATTCCCAGATTACCTAAATTTTATATATTTATTCATTCATTTAATTTTTGATCCCAGACCCCAGCTGACTGTAGGCAGCTCACAAAGTATAAAAGAACATAAAAACAATGAATAAGGATACAAAAAATATTATTGCAAAATACAGTAGTTACACCATAAGGATGATTTCAAAAGTGATATTCAAATTAGGGTAGCATCGTATTTGGGAGTTCAGAACAAAGTGCAAAGGCAAAGGCATCCATCATTTGAATCACTGTATTATCATAATCTTAAAATCTTCTGCATTGATAAATCTTTCACTATGCGACCATTAAGTGGTCCATTATCACATAATCAAGGAAGAAAATTTAGATGGAAGACCAAAAAGGTTTTGTGGTTTACCTGGAAGAGTAGGGAGTATGCAGGTAAAGCTGCTATTTTTACTTTCTGCACCATATCTTTCTTCCAGTTTGGCATGCAAGCTATAGAACTGGCTGTAACGTCGAAATATCATATATCTGCTCTTGCCTTTTGTTTTCACCTCAATCACAAATACCTAGAAAAGAAGAATTCAAAATTCCTGACATCTCCAGTTAAAATAATTTTAGACAACACAAATACATTTCTACCTAAAATGCTAAAGAATTAGTCTAGTTTTCATAACTTCTTCCTAACTTCTTCATACAAGCAAAGGAATTCAGGAAAATAGAAATATGTAAATATCTTTTCTATATGTGTCCTCCACTATACAAGATGGTTTTCATTCAATACTAATTATATACTATGACCATTAATGCTTGGTTTAGTTTAGAATAATGTTCAATTGAATGAATAAACCTTGGTTGCCCATACATCTCCTTTCCTATCTTTTCTTGATCGAATAAAAACAAGATTGATTGTAGCTGGAATCACATAGCATACTAAGATTATTTGTTTTAACCATAATGTGCTGATTTCTAGCCTCCCAGATATTTTGGGCTAGAAATTATCATTGCATTCCAAATTTTTGAGGACAACTCTCAAATGCCAACCCCTGGCTAGGAAGTCTGGGTCTTGTATACCTAACATATCTGCTGGATGTCCAGGTTGGAGTAGACTATTCTAAGCCATTTCGTGGTTTACAAATCACAATAGTTGAGTTCTTCATGCTATTTCACAAAAATAAAAACAAGTATGAATATCTATGTCTGCTCCAAAAGACACTCATGCCACCCTAGCAGAATTGCTTGGAACTTGCTGGAATCTTGTTACAGGCAACAAATATTCCAAAAATGTAAATTTCCATTAATTTCCTCCTTAGATTTATATCCCATCTGCCATTCAAAGTGTCACTTTTTATGAGGATTTCCCTTTATTTTTTATCCCCACATCATCAATCCTAAGAGTTTATACTGAGCTGAAAATGACCGGTGCAAAGATGAGTGAGTTTTTAAACTGAGGATGGACCCAAGTGTAACCCAATGCCTTAGCCATTATACTGCATGCTGGTTGGTTTGCTTGCTTGTTTATTAAGGTCATATGCCACCTATCTCACTGTCAAACAAATCTGGGCAGCTTATAAACATATATAAAAAAACTAAGGTACAAAACATTAAAACAGTAAATAGTAAACAAAGATTAAATAAATTAAAATATCAGAATACTAAGGAGTGGAGGTGAGATATTCTTCCTAGTCCACTAACCACCTCCAACATGGGACATCCACATTGGGGACCCAGGCCAATCAGGAGAGTCAGGTTAATAGGCTCTTACAGAAGGCCAAGAGGATGGGAGCGGATCTCACCCCAAGGAGCATGATATTCCAGAGGGCAGGAACCATGACGGAAAAGGTTCTTCTCTTGGAGTCCCCCCCACAGCTGGAATTTCTTGAGTAATGCAGTCTGCAGCATGTCCCTTCCACTACAATGAGTGGAGTGGACCAATTCCATTGGGGTGAGATGGTTCCTCAAGTAGCCTAGAGTCGACCCATACCATAAAAGGCTTTAAAGATCATAACAAGCACCTTGAATTGAACCCGGAAGTAGACTGGCAAAACAGTAAAGCTCACACATTAGTGGTGTTACATGGGCCACACTAAGGAACTGTCCATACAGCTGCATTTTGCACCAGCCATAGTTTTTGAATATTCTTCAAGGGTAGCCCCATGTAAAGCACATTGCAGTAGTCCCAACATAGGATCACCATGGCATGAATGGCTGATCACAGGGACCCACAGTCCAGGAAAGGGCACAACTAATGCACAATATGAAGTTGTGCAAAGGCTTTCCTAGCAACAACTGCCACCTGCTCTTTGAACAGGAGTCATGAGTGCACAGGATGTCTGGGGCAATGCAACCCCAGACAGAACTAAAGGGTCCCAAAGCCTCATACGTCCATAGCCACTCAACCTTATCAGGGTTCAGTCAAAGCTATATGCCTCCACTTTAGATATTTTTAAAAATATTTCTCTGCATACGTGGTCAGTTGTTTGACCTATGGTGGGGAATCTGGACCTTCACCATGTCTCCAGCTTCCCAGTAAATAATTTGCAGACCAGGATAGAGGAAGCAAAGCAAGATTATCAGGGGATGTTTTTCCTTTATTCCCAATGGGTTGCCTTGATAGTAAGGGTCAACTTTGTTGAGTATGACATAGGGATCTACCTTGAGCTTTTGCTTCCATTTTTAATAAACTATGATTAATGTTAAGAAAAATCTTCCCTAACTTAGCACCCTTCAGATGTGTTCTCTGGGTATGTTGGCTGAAAGTTAATGAAGTAAAATCTAACATATCTGGAACATGGCACTGAAGAAGACTGGTTTAAGTGAACAATCTTAACCATAGTTTAAATGGGGCATTTTTTCCCTGGATCTTATTTAACAAATATTGATCACAGACTGTTCAGGTTAAAATTCTGATAATGAAGGAAAACATTTTTAAACTTTCCCATCTCAATGGGGAGGAAGAAAGTTATGAGCTTTTTTAAGCCATAGAGAATCTTGATTTGATATTATCTCCAATTGCAGTTTTAAGACAGTTTTATAAATCTCTACAGGTTCTATGGAGATTCCCAATCATCCAAAAATTTAAAAATTTTTAAATAGATTTTTATTGTGTTTTTCTACAAGTACAAATCTCATTCATATTTTAAACAGTGCATTGACATCAACAGATACTGTAAATCTTTATATATATATATATATATATATATATATATA